GGCCTTTTCCAGTTCTTGCCATTTGCAGGAGGCCGCATCTCTTGATGTGGTCTATCGCACAACGTCGCCAGGTCCACTCTAGCCTTAGGGTTGTCCTTAGACTTGTCAGTGTCCATGAGTGTTGCCCAAAGTGCCTCGGCGATATTCTTTTCAATTATGCATTACATCAATGTTATAAGGCGAGAGGGAGGTCATCGAAATAGGGAGCCTCGTCAAGTCGGGACTTATGAGTCCACATGTGTTGCTCACCATATCCCACAAAACCACCTTCTTCATTGGGCACGAGAGCATCTATCTGAGCATGAACCTCGGCACCAGTCTTCAAGTGCGGTCTAGGGTCCGTGACTGCGACACCTTTCCTAAAGTTCTTGGTGTCTTGTCGGAATGGATGGTTGGAATCTAGGAATTGACGATGTTGATCGAACGACGCTAATACTTGCCACCCTTCTTCAACCAAATGAACCTCACAAGCTTCCTCGGCATATTGGGCACGGAACTTCCCTGAACACACCAAAGTATTTGAATAACCCATACGCCAGAAGTCATGCATGGAGTATTGGTACCAGACGACATTTTGAAGCTTTGCTTTGTAGCTCGATCGTATGTCCATGCCCTTCATTCCAAGCTTTGATCAATTCATTAATCACAGCTCCATGAACACACCCCATATTCTTCCCCCGTGTCTAGGAATTATCAACGCCAAGATCACGTTATGTCGCTGAAAGGCGACGCCAGGGGAGATTGAGGGGATAACAAACACGGGCCAACATGTGTAAGGGCGGCCATCATGCCATAAGGATTGAACCCATCTGCTGCCAAAGCACGACACGCACATTACGAGCCCCATCGGATTTCGACGATGTTTGTCATTAAAGCTGGTCCATGCTTCACCATCGATGGATGTACCATCTTGTCGAGGATTCTACCGCTTGCCATTCTTGTGCCACGTCATCTGCTTTCGCGGTTTCCTCGGTCATGAATAGCCTTTGAAGCCTCTCGAAGACGAAGGGAAGGTGCCGTAAGACTCGGCAGGTATATCTTAAGTCGCCTTTTCCGCCACCACCATCACCGGACTCTCTACCTCCGTGAACTTGGAAGCTTTACACTTCAACAGGTTATTTGCCTCCTTGTGTTCTTCACGAAATAGGACACACCTGTTCGGACAAGCATGTATCCGCTCATACGGCATCTTCATTGCTTTAAGGAGCTTCATGCCTCGTACATGGTCTTCGCAACATGTGGTCCTTTTTGGAAGCAAGGTGCCAACCACGGCCAACACCTTATCGAAGCCTTCTCGACTCATGTTCAAATCGAACTTCAACCCCATCAAGCGACTAATGGCATCCAGCTGAGAGACCTCAGAATGAGCGTGAAGGGGTTTCGCCACCAGTCCATCATGCACTTGAACGCATCTACTACCAGCTGCATCTCCTCCTCACGTCCTTCAAAGAACCGTGCTTGGTGAACGCTATCTACCATGTCTCCAGTACCCCGGCATCAGCATTGAAAGCCTCGACACATGGTCTCACCACCTCCTCTCTCATACGATCGGCTTCACCATGGTGGACCCACCGGGTGTAGTTCGCCAGTAAACCCATTCTTGTGCGATGTATACCCATGACTTCTGATTTTGCATTCTCCTGTTACCACACTTGTTGTAGGGACACAAAGCCATTTTCGGTATCTAGCGGCCTTGCCAAATGCACACTTCAAGAAACGATTGGTCTTGTTCATCCATTCAATGTCGACATCACCCTAACTTGTCCGCCCACAGTACATCCATTGATGGTCCTCCATCCTCTAGCATATATAACATCTCCACAGGTGACCCTACTCTCTAATAGGTGAGGATAGGTCCTAATCCCACCCAGCGGATGCGATATGAGGTTAGTTTCCATGCTCGCTCCCTATCCGAGATGTAATTTTGGCAAGACACCTCCCGCCGTTTCTCTCGATACACGTCCCCGCAAGGAGAGTGTATCCGGAGAACAACAGGGTAATGCCGAAACACCATCTCGAACCGGAGCGGACCATGGAAACTAACCCATCTACGCATCCGTGGGCTGTCCAAAAAACGTGGACAATCCAAAATAGATATGGTCGCAGATATACAAAGATCTCGCATACCTCAACCGTATCTCTTCTTGGATGGGAGACACCTAACTAGGTTACGTGACCAAAGACCACATACACGGATAGAGGGGTTATACCTCACGGTGCAGTGAGGTCGTGGTAGCCAGGCGGTGGAGAGTCGGTGCAGATGGGCGAGTCGATGCGGTGCAGAAGACCTGCAGCCACGCATGAAGATGATCGGGGTCGCCGAGTCCCTCCCACAGTCCTCCTATAAAAAAAAAGGGCAAAAATGGTTAGTGTCGACTGTAAATTTTGGCAGCACCTCCCCACAGGGAGGTTCCCAAAACCTGCAAAAAAACATGGCACAAAGGCCAACAACCACATATATACTCAAACATGGGCACAAAGGCCAACAACCACCAATATATCAAGAGGAGCCATGTACTTTAGTTCTCTTTCCATGCAGATGAAAGTATTGAAGTAGTACAACAACAATTACTACTAACCCTACAACTACTACTAAAACTACTACTAACAACTACTTAACTACTAACAAAGATTAATACTAAGAACTACTTAACTATTAACAACTACTACTATTAACCACTACTACTTACTAACTACTACTATTTACTAACTACTACTACTAACCCTACAACTAACACTACTAACTAATACTACTAACCACTACTACTTACTAACTACTACTATTTACTAACTACTACTACTACTAACCCTACAACTAACACTACTAACTACTACAACTAACACTACTAACTACTACTACTAACACTACAACTAACTACTACTAACTACTACTACTACTAACCCTACAAGGGTAGGGCTTACCTTAAGCGGCAAGAACGACAAGAGCGAGGGCCGACGACGGCACGGTGGGATGATCGCAAAGAAGGCGAGGATCAACAGGCGGTCGAAAGCAGCGCGAGGATCGACGAGCTGGCGTGGTCGGCACCTTTCTTTCTTTCTCCTCCCTTTCTCTTCTTCCTCTTCTTCCTCCTCCCTTCTCTTTCTTCCTCTTCCTCCTCCCCCTTCTCTTTCTTCCTCTTGCTCTCCTTCTCCCTCTGCTGGCCGGGCCATGAGGGCACGGCAGGGCCGGTGGAGCTCGGGGCCATGGGGAGCTTTGGGCCGGCAGGTCGTTGTCCCGGGAGCTCGGGAGTCTGGGTGTCGGCGAGGCTTGGGCGCGGCCACCACGGGACGGCGCAAGCGTGGGGCCAGGGTTGTTGGGAGGGACGGGACGCCAGGGTGGGCCCTTTAGAGAGCTCACGCCATCAGAGGGGAACAACGGCGGGGGCGGCGCGGGCGGCTTGAGGCGGCGGCAAGGCACAAGGGGCAGGACGCTGGGGGCGCGGTGGGAGAGGAGGAGGAGGGTGCGGGTTAATGCCCGTTGTGGGCCTTTAGGTTAAAAGATTTACCGAGTGCCGGGCCCAGCGGCACTCGGCAAAGGTTTTTTAATTTTTTTTAAAAAATTCTTTGCCGAGCGCCCTGTGACCTGCCGCTCGGCAAAGGCTTCTTTGCCGAGTGCCAAGGTTGGCACTCGGCAAATTAAAAAAAAAATTTGTTTTTTTCTCCCCATTTTTTTCTGGGGCCTTGCTACAGTAATTAAAACTCCATTTCAAAATTTGGGACAATTTTGAGTTTTTTTACTATATTTCCTTAATTATTTTTGTTTCGTTGAATTTTTCCGACTATTTCAAATTTGAACTGCATGTACATGAAATAATGGTATTGGGCCATTCAAAAAATGGTATTCATGATGTTTGGCGTATGTTGAGGTCGTATCCAGGAACTCGCATGAAATTACGAGCATCTTGTTGTCGTAACATGACGATGTACTTGCGGGAAAAGTGTATTTAAATTATATAAAATCCAAACGAATTCCGAAAATCATGAAACTTGTCGAGGTGTCTTGTTATCGCATGTGGAGGCCGTGGTAAAAAAATTAAGAAAGTTTGAAGCAAGTTGTGACGTCGGATGCCTAAAAGCCAGACATCTCCACATGTGACGTCGAATGCCTAAAAGCCAGACATCTCCACGTTAGCGAAAAAAAAATATGTTCTTGCATGCATGAAATGTTTAGCATCTTCCTTTGTTTTGATGCCCACCCAATAAGGGGAATTGTTTTCAAGATCAAACAACGAGTAAGCTCCCTACAAACATTGGTGAATACATCTTATTTGTTTGCCTAAAATTGAACTTTTTCTTTTGACGAAATTTAATCTGGATGGTCGAGTGGTTGTAACTAGTACAATACAGCAGACTACTCAGTACGGAAATTGTTTTCTAAACCTTTATCTCATTTTGGATGGAAGAAACAAACAATATAATGCTATGCGTACCGGCAGTTCGATCATTAAATAAACAACGCCCAATGCAAGTCAATCTCTGGTCGTTGCAACCATGTGCATGCGATCGTCGTTGGAACAGTGTGTTTTTGTCCGTTTCAGTATGTGAATGATGGGATAACCATGCATGATTTCTGTTGGAATAATCTAATATCAGATTCTTTGCCGGCCTGTACGTCTCCTCGAGCTCGACCCTAGCTAGCTAGCTATATTAGCTCCACCATTGCTGCAGACATTCCTCACCTCCAACCTCCAAAACCTGTCTACTGTCTCTACTACGCTCTCTAGTAGCTAACAACGTCTGGGAGACTAGGACAGGGATCGATCGCCGGCCATTTCTGAGAGCAAGATGGGCAAACGTTTCCTCCACCAACTGCTCGCCGTCGTCCTTGCACTCTTCGTCTCGCCGGTGAGATCCGGCGACTGGCTTTCAGCCACCGCCACGTTCTACGGCGGCGCTGACGGCTCCGACACAATGGGTGGGTAACCTATAGCTACCTTTGTCTTTAGTTGGGTCATGGGTGTGCAGACTTTGATCTGATCAACGAGCACGTACGTATGCAGGTGGCGCATGCGGGTACAGCGATCTGTACGAGCAGGGCTACGGCATCAACAACGCGGCGCTGAACACGGCGCTCTTCAACGACGGCGCGTCGTGTGGACAGTGCTACGTCATCATCTGCGACAGCAGCAAGACCGGGTGGTGCAAGCCCGGCAACAACTGGGTCGTTGTCTATGCCACCAACTTCTGCCCGCCCAACTGGGACCTCCCCGCCGGCGGGGAGCTCCCTGCCGCCGGCTGGTGCGGCCCGCCCCGCCCCCACTTCGACATGTCCCAGCCCGCCTAGGAGAACATCGGCATCTATAGCGCCGGCATCATCCCCGTCCTCTACCAGCGGGTCAAGTGCTGGAAGAGCGGCGGCGTGCGATTCACCATCGCCGGCTTCAACGGCTTCTACATGGTGCTCATCACCAACGTCGTCGGTAGCGGCTCCATCCAGAGCATGGCGATGAAGGGCAGCAACACGGACTGGATCCCCATGTACAGGAACTGGGGCGCCAACTGGCACTGCCTCTCCGGCGGGCTCGTCGGCCAGGGCCTCAGCTTCGCGCTCGTCTCCATCGGCGGCCAGAACCTCGTCTTCAAGGACGTCGTGCCGGAGTGGTGGCAGTTCGAACAAACCTTCACCACCTACCAGAATTTCGACGACTAATAAGCAATATATAGACACTGTTTCATTAATTCATTCCACAACGGTGCAAGTTAATTTATCCAATATATCCTCCAACACTACCGAAAACGGTAAAATTGCCGAGTGTTCGAGGGTTTGCCGAGTGCATTTCATCGGGCACTCGACAAATATCCTAGTTACTGATTGTTTTAATTAAACACTCGGCAAACATATAGCACTCGGTAAAACCCAACTTTGCCGAGTGCCTAATAAAAAACACTCGGCAACCTACAACAAAACACTCGGCAAACACCAACACTCGGCAAAGTATAGGCACGTCATACTGGCGTCGCGCGCCATGTGATGGCCGTTGGGTGTGCCGCTACCTGTGTTAGAACTTTGTCGAGTGTCCGTTAGAGACACTCGGCAAAGACAAGGTATGACGTGTGTTTTCTATTGACACTTCGCAAAATAATGTTGTTGCCGAGTGTTTTTATTAGCACTCGGCAAAATAATAATTTTTTTTCTCTCCCCGTCCTCTAAACTTTTTGTACTCTCCACATACAACATGTGGTACTACATGTTACAATTTGGTATATTTCTCGATCTGTTTGCTATATTTAATTAATTTATTGCATTTAGAGGAATTTTTTTGAGTCTAAGTCAATTTTGAACCGCAAGTGATTCAAATAATGGAATAAATTGAGTGAAGAAATCATATTCATGTTATTGAGTCCATTTGGGGCCTTACTCGAAATGAAAAGAAATTTTTGAACATTTTGTTCATTTAAACACACGACTTACCTTAACGTGTGGCCAATAGTTTTTAAATTCTAAAAAAAGCAAATGATGTCCGAAAATGACGAGATTTGTCAAGATCTCCGATATCATAAGTGGAGACTGTGGAAAAAAATTGAGAAGGTTTCACACAATTTGTCACGTCTTTACGCCATAAACCGAAGCATCTCCGAAGAAGAATCGTAGCGTTGAAGAATCCGGTAAGATTTGAAGTCAAAGTGATGGTAAAATTAGGGTTTGACTTCAAAACTTTTTGTATAGGCAATAGACAACATATATTGGTTCACGCCAAATTTTGGTAATTTTTCGGATCTGCTTTGATAATTTTAATTTATTAACTGTAATTATAGAATTTTAATTGATATAAATTGAATTTGAGCTATAACTGTATGAAATAATGGATTAATATTCGTAGAAAAATCAAATATGCATTATTGAGTGAATTTGACAAGGTATTTTCAAATTATATCGTAACAAATTTAGTATAACACGTTATGAAGGAGGATGGGTGGGCATTAAATATCAATTTATTTTGCCGAGTGTTAATCATATGACACTTCGGCAAACAATAGATTTGCCGACTTACCCAAGCCGGCCCCCACTTACCAAAGCACCTGCACTGCTGGAAATTAAAAAAACAATGCCGAGTGCCCGCAAACTGCACTGCAAAAAGCCCTTTGGTTTTACCCTATCTGGCCGCACACTTACTCACACACACTCACACACTCACCACACACTGCCGTCTTTGCACCACCGGACCAGCCTCATGCTGCCCGGACCACCCCCCACCACGCTGGCTGGACCCTCCCTCCGCCCGAGCCGCCACCCCTGCACAGGCCGGCCACCCTCCGCCATGGGCCCCCGCCTTCCCGCAAGCCGCCACCGCCTCTATCCCAGCCAGCAGCCGCCCTCCCGCCCCTCGGCGACGCGCCTCCCGTCCGCCTCATCTCGGCTACCACTACTACTGAGAATCGATTTTAGGCGGTTTCAGTAACCATTTAGGCGGTTTGGCCAGCCGCCCCTCTCAACCATCTCTATAAATCATGCATTTGTTGGGGCGGTTCCTAGACCGCCTTTACAAATCGATTTAGGGACGACAGTACCACGCCCCTACAAACATGTATTTGTAGGGGCGGTTCAATCTAGAACCGCCCCTACGAAGACGTTTTTCCCACAAAAAAATTCAAATTTACAAATCAAAATCGCGTTTTTAACGTCCGCGACTAACGTTCAATCAAGGTTGGCGTTGCGACGCCCCCACGGCCAACGTTCCAAACCACGTCACGTGTTGCCGAACACCTCATGCGATCGCGACTACAAGCACAAGAGTATTCTATAAACTACAATTACAAGTCCAATTCACAAAATATATACAATCCATCATTAAATATACAAATTCCATACACATTGTTATCAACATCCTAGAGCTAGCCTTCAAATTCTTATGAAGGTGTTGGTATCGAGGATTTGTACCTAACTCGCACTCTCTCGGTCATGGTAGGCGCCTCGAGACGTGTACAATCTGGTCCAATATGAAGTTACAAAGGTCGCCGACGAGCTCTAAGAGTTGGTCATCCTTGTATGGGTCTCTTTTCATTCCTTTCTCTTCTCTCCACTACAAGAGAACAAGTTTTGGTTTAATATTTCATACCATGTATGAAGTTTTTATACTACGGGTGAAGAGGTTCAAACTTACCCTTAATTGGTGTCTCCTGTGAGGCACCGGTGTTACTCATCATAGAACATATATAGTATCCACAATGTACACTCCTGTGCTTACGCTTGGGGCACCGTGGTGTTTTGCATATGAAAATATTAAGTAATGCTTTTGACCATGCCATGTAACGGAGCATCAAGAAGTAAGTTACACTTATACCGCACATAGTGTTTTTTATAGCCATTTTTCCTTCCTTGGTGGATCATGCCTTCCATGATGATTAGTGACATAGAACCTAAATGCCTGCTCAAATTATTTTAGCAAATACAACTTATTAGTATCCAAAAGTAAATGTTACAAGTATGTATATAAACATATAAGCTAATGAGGATTGTCGATATGTATATCGCCTTGAGAATCGATATGAAGTCTTTGTATGTCACCGTGTCCCTATCTAATGAATCAAAGACCCATGCCATGCTCCTCCCGACATCGACGGCTATACAAATCCAAAGGTTGTCGCATGGATTTAATCATAGAACTAGATAAGCTCTTTTGCATCGAATAAAATATATCGAACAAAGCTTTAAGTATAGAGTTGAACTTACTCAAAGTTGTATGGTAGTCATATAGTAGAGTGTTGTTGGAGATTTTTGAAAGCCGTGGCAATGTATGCTGCAACCTTAAGGGACTCTTCCCTTAGTTTTGCCGTGATGGACGCTCTTTTTCTCCCAAGAGTCTTTGCAGCAAAGCTAGCTCTTTGGCATCCAAAGGTCCACCGCTTAGGTAATTAAAATTTGTTTGGACTATAGCTTGAGGGTCTCATGACCAAGCTTTCACACTTGGCATTTGTTTGACAATGTGCACTTGCATTCTACAAATCACAAGGCGTGGGTTAGTTACAACAAAATTCAAAGATTACATTCATATCATATCGGGAGGACAAGGACTTACAGCACCACGCATGCGAATTAGATTCATCTCCATTTCTCCTGTAAAAGCATGTGTGCATGTCATTGAAGTCAAAGACAATTTTTCCGGCCGGGCTTCCAAATGTGCCGGTGGGGAAGCATGCTTGTATGAGATCTATGCTCGTTGGGGAGAACACGCAAGGACCAATCATGGAACCTTCTCATTCCAAGTGGTAGGCGCTTGGATGTCCTGGGCTTTGGTAGGAAGGGCTTGCCTCTTTCATATGTTTTCTCGGACAATCTTTGACCATTTGATGGCATCAACATTTGGATACCGCTTTGCAATTTGGTGGAGTTTGCTAGTGATGACCTCCTCGAACCCCGTGATGGGACTTTTTAACTTGGTTCTCGTGCTTGAACCGGGTCATGGGAAAACCACTTGGACACCGACGAGATGTCTTTGATCGAAACATAAACTAGCCTTATGGTGATTGGATGCTTCTTTCGAAGTTCCCATTCAGGCACGTCCTCATCTTCTTGTGCATCACCTTCTTCAGGAGGCACTCGTTGTTCATGTATCGGTACAGTGCTTGTTGAGACAACTGTGGTATCTCATGATGCACTTGCTCGGCACGAGCCGGAGAAGGTTGTGGCATCTCATCGTGCACATGCTCGCTAGGAGGTGGGGAAGAATGTGGCATCTCAAGAATGTGGGGGTCACGAGACGGTGAAAATATCTCCCCGACCTCAACAACTCGCTCCAAATTTGGGAGAGGGGAGGCGGCGAAGAAGCGGCCAATATAATGTCCTGCTTTGTGCGGAGGATGAATCGCCCCATAACGCCCCGAGTAACACCACCCCTCGGGAGTTATGTGAGTCTATCCTCCACCGCATGAACTCGGGCTTCACTGTATGCACCTCGACCCTAGTGTAGTCCGATGGTATCTTATTATTGTGGTATAAGCCACCGGGAGGATATGCCACACCTGCTGCCACCTCCATCCATCATGTTGTTCGTGCCATTGAGAAACACCAAGGTGCAACTAGTTGGTTCTCATGTGAGTGATCGACGGGGTTGTGGTCTGCAGTGGAACCTTGGGTCGCTAGGAACTTTCGGAGGGTCGCCAACTAATACCCAGCCTCCTCGGCAGCATCACTAATATCCATGGCTCCATAGACAGGTCCTTGCTCCTCCAAATACCTTCAACTAGAGCCTTCACTTGGAGCTCAAGACTAGTCTCCTTGGTCTCTACTATGTTTCTTGTACATGTGTCTCATCCTCTCTTTGAATCCTTGCTTCTAGATCGTCCTTTTTCCCTAGCATACTGGTGCGGCACTGTGTGCTCCTTGTTTCCCAAGCCAAAGGCTAAGCTCATCCCTCTCTCTCCGGAAGGATTGAATGAGCCCTTCTCCTTGTCTTCAAAGATATTTCTCATCCTTGATATCGCCTCTTGGGTCTCCGGCTTATCAAACTTAAGATTACCACGGATGATTCTCAGACTCCTCGACATATCTAGTTCCTTAAGCATACCTTCAAATTCGTCCACATCGATATTCCCAAAGAACTGCTGACCTCTTCGTCCATCTTCCCTAAACTACTCCTCCTTGGCATAGTAGCCACCGGGGCCTAGATGATGGTGGTGTTTGTTCCTCTTCGCCACTTCGGTGTTATGGGC